TTGGCATTGTGAGGAATAGGATGCTGTATGAGATAGGCCTTGTCTGATCTAGCTGAGCTTTTCTTATCTTCTAAACTATACAATGCATTGATATGAAACATAACTTTGGCAGCAGGAAATCTAGTCATTATTTGGAAAGATTTCCTTTAATGAAAACGTGGCTTCTAATTTTTTTCCCTGTGACCTTTTCTTAAAAATGTTTTTGAAGCAACCACAAAACATTTGCACATCACTGACAGAGAGGTTAAGCTAAAAATATATTTCCATTTTGAAAAAAATATCTAAGGGAAAATGCCAAATCCAAACTCATTTGTAATTCAGAACAAAAACAGGTTTGATATTGCTTATCTCTCTGTCAGATCTTTTTTTGACAGCAAACATGAGTAGAATCCTATTTTGACAGATCAGAATTGTTCCTATGAATGCACGAATTTCAGAATTGTAACAGCTGGCTCTGTAGTTAAGAATATGTAACCAAACTTTAGTTTGATATTTAAAATTGTCAATTATTATTACCATTGTATCCATTTAAACCTGGAACTATATACTGCATTCAACAAAAGCATATGTCTCTGGCCTACATACATTAGTTTATTTTTTATTATTTATACACCTTATTTCTCAAGAATCTTTTCTTTTTTAAATAGTAGTCTAATTATAATACATTGATACACATTTTGTGAAGGCTTTCAATCTATTGTCAACATTCTCAACTTCTCAGTCATTGATAATCCCATATTAAGAAAGACAGTTTGAAGGAGCTTTTAATTGCATTTACTCAGATATAAGAAAAGGTTGACTTTAATCCATTCCCTTCAATATGAGACAATAAGTAAATCATGAATGTACTTCATTTATTCATGTACAGATAGTCCTCAGCTTACTTCCATTAATGACCATTTGCAGTCACAACAGCCTCAGAACAGGTGCTTTTTAAAGTATTTCTGGGCTGTTGTCAAATGTCATGCCAGCTGCCCCTCTGGTCACATGACCACATTTTGAGCACTTGACCACCTGTTCACATTTACAACTGAACATCAAGTGCCCTGTAATCATGTGATCACCATTTGCAATCTTCTCTATTGGCTTCCCCAGAAAGTCAGTGGGGAAGTTCACAGGAAAAGTTGCAAGCGGACAAGGCATTGGATTTGAAGTCTGTTCCCACAGCACAGCCAAGGGATTTCCCCTCCCCTCCATGCAGAGAAGAGAAATTCTCTCACAGATTATAGGAATGGATCTCAACTCTGGTAAAAATGCTAATGAATGTCAGCATCTGAGCCTTTTAGAATGCTAGTGTTCACTAAGGATTTTTTCTCCAGAAGGGCAGAATTACTGGGATCCTCTGGAGTGGAAAACATTGGCAAACTCTAGCATTTTCATCCTTAAAAAATGATGGTGTTTGCAAGCATTTTCACCATCATTCTTGCGATTGTAAATTAGTAAAAAAATCATTCTGGTCAACATTTTAATCTTTTGAAAATGTTTGGGGTGGGCATTTGATATGGCCTTGTTTCTCCTTTTTAGCTCTGCAAAGTCAGAACACAGCCCACGCTAGAGATATTAAGTGATTACATGTTCTCTCTTAAGTAACATCCCTGGTTAATTTGAGCATAACTCGAACCTATAGTTCAAAATTACACGCCCTAGATGTAGTGAAGGTACATCCCTTTCACCACTCCTGCTGAAAAATTTGGAAAACAGGAATCCTTATTGCATGTGAACTCAATAAATTCTAGTAAATTCACATTAATTATGAGGCATCAGCCACGATGAAAAATACATTTCTTGAAATAAACTACATTTCTTTTATGATAGGCAGCCTTGGGAATATAAGCCACAATCATGTTCACTGAGCCAAACCCAGACAGAATTTTATCTGAGCAGGATATATGAAAAGACTATTACTTGAGCAGACAGGGGTTTATTTTAAAATCTAACTCCCACCTGCCCCAGCAAGCATGGCCAGTGGAAAGGGACTGCAGGAATTATGACTCACCACGCTGTAAAAAAGATGTTGAGACTCTAGAAAGAGTACAGAGAAGAGCAACAAAGATGATTAGGGGACTGGAGGCTAAAACATGAGGAACGGTTGCTGGAATTGGGTATGTCTAGTTTAATAAAGAGAAGGACTAGGGGTGACATGATAGCAGTGTTCCAATATCTCAGGGGCTGCCACAGAGAAGAACTAGTCAAGCTATTCTCCAAAGCACCTGAAGGCAGGACAAGAAGCAATGGATGGAAACTAATCAAGGAGAGAAGCAACCTAGAACTAAGGAGAAACTTCCTGACAGTTAGAACAATTAACTAGTGGAACAACTTGCCTCCAGAAGCGGTGAATGCTCTAACACTGGAAGTTTTTAAGAAGAGACTGGATAGCCATTTGTCCGAAATGGTATAGGGTTTCCTACCTGAGCAGGGGGTTGGACTAGATGACCTCCAAGGTCTTTTCCAACTTTATTATTATTATCATAACATTTTCTTCTTTCCCTTTTTATTTTATTAAATAAACAAAAAAGCAAAAACAAAAAGAAACACATATAAACTTTACACTGCAGTAAAATTTGAAATAAAATCTATAAAAAATAAAATTAAAGAAAGACCAAATAAAAGCATTATAGGAAAAAACATTCTGGTAACCTCCCTTTTTCTAAAAAAATATTGCTCATTTCTATTTGGATTTATTTATTTATTTATTTTAAACAGTTTCTCTTTTTCTTCAAATATCATATTTTGTGTATTTTAGCTTACCTTGCTGTGTATCGTGTTGTACACAAAGCAACCTATTTTATTTTTGATGTTAAAAGTTGTCACGGGGAGCAATTAAGTAATCGGCTTTGAAATTGCTTAGTATTATTTACTACGTATATACTATATTATCGTATTTACTATAAGTGCTTATGAAGTTCTTGGTGCTCTCTGATCTTGGTAGTTTGCTTGCAGACATTTCATTACAGTATGCAACTTAAGACTATCATGTGCGTGTATACAATTAGTGTTCTTATTGATATTTAATATTATGGGATTCCTAAATTCAAAATTTTAGTGCTTTGCACTCCAGCCTACAGTAGACTCTGGGTTTTCTCAAGTGCCTCACTATTTTTAATAACAATTTTGTTTCTAAAACAGCTGCTCTAACTTGTCACATTAAAAATTGACCCTTGCACTTTTCTGCACAATTTGCATAAAGCGATATACCTTTTACTTGGAGTAATTTCATAGTAAAACTTACCATCTTCATTTCATTTATGTATTTAAATTTTGATTTGACATTCCATAGAGAGCTCAAGATGGTGTCTCTAAATTGTATCCCTTGGAAAAACCATCCTCTGAAGCCTTTAGGCTGAGAGAACGTTATTGACAAGAGTCACCTATTATATTTCATGGTTGGAAATTGAACCAAGTATTTCCAGTTCAAACCAAACATCATAATTTCTATCCAGCGTTGGTTCTTTTAAGCTCATCCTAACCTTAATCTATAGAGCCCAAAGCTACATTTTCACAGTTATATTACCACAACAAATATGTAATTTATTTATTAAATTTATATGCCCTCCAAATCCCTGCTAGGGTGACTCTGGATGGCCTGCAGAACAGAAAAAGATAAATAGAAAAGCAATTACTAGCCGAGGTGGCGCAGCAGTTAGAGTGCAGTACTGCAGGCCACTTTAGCTGACTGTTCAGCAGGTCAGCGGTTCAAATCTCACCGGCTCAAGGTTGACTCAGCCTTCCATCCTTCCGAGGTACGTAAAATGAGGACCCAGATTGTTGGGGGCAATGTAAATATATATATACATTGCTTACTGGTATACACCGCTTAGAGAGTGCTTGCACTTAAAGCGGTATATAAGTCTCATAAAATAAATAAAATAAATAAATTAATTAATTAAAAATTTTAAAGCTATTCATGTTAAAATTTTAAAACTATGCAAAAAATCAGACCCAAAGAGATGGACAACATGGAGATGAGGTCTTCTTATTCCATCAATTGTAAATATAATGTAAATAAAATGTAAAAGTGTTCTATGTATTAACAGGAAAAAAGCCATTTATGTTTTCCCTTCTCATACCAAAAATATAGAAGAATGATTAGAGCAATTTTGGTACAATAAACAGATACATGTCAATTTCTGGGATAAATACAACACTTCAAACTATGATTCCATAAACATGAAGAAGAAATATAGATTTACCTACACCTGTGTCAGGGGCTTAAATTATACTTGGAGGTCTCAACTTTGTTTGGGAACAGCTCATAAGTGGCTTATTCTTTATTAATTTATTAAATTTATATGCCACCCATCTCATTCTGAAAAGTGACTCTGCCTTTATTCCAAAATTTTCCACCTCCCAACCAAATCCATCATCCTGGATTTTTTGGGCACTCTTCCATCTCAATGCTACCAACACCCAACCTCTCTTCCCTTTCTTCTAGACCAGACCAAGTTGGCTCAGGGATGCCTGGGATACCTTTTAAGACAAGATCCATCAGGATGCTTACAGTATTATGAGATTTTTATCCTGCTTTTTGCATAAAAACTCAAGCAACATGCCTAAGGCTCTCTCCATCCCCATAACAGCAACCCTGTACTTAAGCCAAGTACTTAATTGCTTTAATGACCAAAGTTACAACAGGCATTGAAAAAAAGTGACTTATGACCATGTTCACACTTACGACCATTACAGCATCCCCATGGTCAAGTAAGCAAAATTTGGAAGCTTAGCAACTGACTTATATTTCTCACAGTTGCAGTGTCCCAGGGTCATGTGATCAGCTATTGAGACCTTCTCACAAGCAAAATTAATGGGGAAGTCAGATTCACTTAGAAACCCTGGTACTAATTTAACAAGTACAGTGATCCACTTAACTGTGGCAAGAAAGGTTGTAAAATGGAGCAAAATTCACTTAACAAATATTTTGCTTAGCAACAGAAATTTTGGGTTCAATTGTGGTAGTAAATCGAGGACTACCTGTATATAGAGAGTGTCTGTCTATCTACCTGGAGATGAGAAATAGAGCGAGAATGAGAGGCTGGAGGGCAAAGAGCAGCCTTCAGGTCCCCTCTCCCTGGCCTGCAACTCTACCAAGCTCTGCGACCCTTCCCTGCACCCAGGGATGCTCCCTCGCCGCTTGTAGGCAGTGTCACCATGGCAGCCCAAACACAAGGCAAGCGCCTCCCAGGCTACTCGCGCGTCTCCTGGCGGGACTTGCGGCGCTCGGGCGGCTCCCGGGCCGGGAGAGCGCAACTATAGCAGCTCCCGGGCCGGGAGAGGATCGCCGCGGACTCCTTTCCCCGCTCTTCAGGGTTCTTCTAGCGGCACCCGCCATTTTGACCCGTGGCGCAGCGCCCGGAGTATCTTTGGGAGCCGGGAGGCCACTTTTTGGCTGTCGGTGGCTTCCCCTGGGAGTCTTGGCGGGCGGATGGACACGCACGTCTCCGCCGGATCCTCGTCCTCCTTCTAGACTGGTTAAACAAGTTCAAGTTTCCCTCGCGGCCTTGGCCTCTTTCCTTTCTTCTTCCCTCGCCGCCGCGCAGGTAAGGCCCTGTGGGTCGCTCTCTGTCTCTCCTCCAGGGCGCAACGTTTGGCACGCTTACCTGTCCGGCAGCCTTAAGCCCACTCAAATGGGAAGTTGTCGCTGCAGTGGAAAAGCAGCGGCTTTTTTTTTTTTTACCGTTGGAAATGACAGTGACATTTGTGATGAAAAGATGGATGACAAGGCTCGAAGAGGTTTTGCTGTTTCTTCGGTCTTGGAGCAAGAAAGGCGCCTTGTGGTTTTTCTCGCTGCCGGTGCAGCTTAGATATCAGCCGGGGCTCTTCGCGGGGTCGGGCCAGTTTGAGGCGGTGCGGCAATTGAAAGCACCGATGAGGCTTTTTAAGATCAAATATGCAGGACCCTTACACATATTTGCACCGAAATGAAAAGATACCGTCGTGTAAAAACTGGGAGAGGCCCTTAGGAAATAAAACTCAGACGCTAGAAACGACAGGTGCGTTACAATGAAATGAGCCTGTTGGTTTTAACTCGTTGATTTGCGGCTTTTAACAGCCCCAAATCATCCAGAACGAGACGAAATGGCCTGCTTTGCAGCCGATCAAGCCGTACTTAGTACAGTAGTTATAAAGACTAGTAGGCCTTAATGAAATGCACAACTCTCCCTTGGGAACTGAGAAAAGGCTATTTCAGAAAACAGGAATGCCAATGTCTCAGCCAAACTAATTGAAGTTGCTGATTATATAGAACTAAATGGCTTTGCTGAAAAATCCACTTAATTTATTAATATTAGGGAGAAAATAGAACACCAATGAAAATCTGCAACCATAAATAGCTAGACTGCAGTGTTTCTTAAATTTGGCCACTTTAAAACTTGTGGACTTCAGCTCCCAGAATTCTTCAGCCAGCAAGTTGGGGAAGCAAGGTGGCTGGGGAATTCTGGGAGTTGAAGTCCACAAGTTTTAAGAAACACTGAGCTACAGTAGAGGGGTTTGATGCAGGACAATTTCCTCTGAATGCCATGTTGGATTTCTCATTCCACGACAGTCCCAAGTTTTGTTATACAACATCTCCCAGTATGAAATATATCTTTTAAAGGACAATCATATGTCTTATTTGCTTGGTTTATTTATGTACTTTTAACTATTCATGGTTAATTAGACACAACATTTTTGTACATAGGACATGGTTTCTGTGCCTGTTGCCTATTTTAGTTCATCAAACCCTTCTAATCTTATATGACAGATAAATTTAATTGGTTTGGCTGATTGAAAAATCTTTATCAGTTATGGATCACTTTGGGATATAAAGTTAATTGTATTCTCATCCATCTCTAACATAGCCCATTGTTCCTGATATAAAGTTTTTTTTAAGAATGTTTCCGTTTTGCTTTTATGCTTTAGTAGAGTAATTTTATTACATTTTAGTAATTTCAGTTCAGTTAGGGAGGTTTATTTCCAGAGGCATTCACAGGAATAAGGACTAGCTTTGGCCTGTCCCACCTGCCATCTTGAAGAATGAAACCTGCAACACAGGAAAATTATATTTAGAGAACCAGGAATATAATCAATAAAAAGCTTGATGAAGTGAAAAGAATCTGGTAATTTTACAAATGTGGAAATATGGCTTGCTTTATGCACATAATGGTTTACTGATATATGGAATCCAAACTTTCTCAAACACACACACACACACACACACACACACACACACACACACAAGAACCTTAACATTCTTCCTCTTTGCTGTTTAGGACTAAGTACAAGTATTTCTCGACTTACAACCATTCGTTTAGTGATCATTTGAAGTTATAACGGCACTAAAAAAAGTGACATGATTGTTTTTCATACTTAAGACTGTTACAGCATGCCCGTGATCATGTGATCAAAATTCAGATGCATGGCAACTAATATATGACAGTTGCAGTGTCTTGGGGCCATGACATTGCAGTGTCTTGGGGCCATGTGACACTTTTGCAGCCTTCCAACAAGCTAAGTCAATGGGGAAGCCAGATTCACAACAACTGTGTTACTAACTTAACCACTGCAATGATTCATTTAACAACTGTGGCAAGAAAGATCCTAAGATGGAGCAAAATTCACTTAACTATCTCACTTAGCAACAAAAATTTTGGACTCAGTTGCGGTCATACATCAAGGACTACCTGTACTACATTACAGTCTTGAAAATATGACATAAGGATTCTTTTTTTAAAAAAAGTGATCTTATTCCTAGTTGCAGACTTCCATGTTTTATGTGTAAAGAGTAATTGATTTGGAGGGAGAGCAGGAAGTAAAACTATTATGTGAACAAGACTTATCATTTTTATATTAGGACAATTCTTGCCCTTCCAGGAAGAGCAATATAGATTATGCACACACTGTCAGGGAGGAAAGTCAATGTAGGTTATGCAGAAGTATGGGCTGCTCAACTCTTAGTGAATGCTGTGTAACCTTCCAGCATGACCCAGTGCCTTTTTTTACTGGAATTAAGGCTTTCTTGAAGCAAAATATGCATGACAGCCATGTCACCTGAACTTGCACATTTTATCTTGAAATTAATTGGATTTAATTGAGTTCAATAAGGTTTAGCTTCCAGCAATGTTCCTTATTGACCAGAAAGAAAGAAAAACCCTAAAATCTTGACTTTCTCTGACATAGGAGCAATTAAATAAATCAGCATTGAAGTTTTTATAAAGACAGGGAGAGAAGTACAGTTACCAATATTTGTTGATCAAGCTAATTAAATTTTTAAAAGCACAGCAATACTAATTACTCTAAGTAAACTTTAGAATGTACAGTATGGAGCAATTCCAATTTATGGTATAATGTATTACTTATTTATTCAAACATCTGCTTAGTTGTAGGTGTGCATAGAAATATATTAAGGTTGTGCACATTTGGTATTTATTAAGAAGAAATGCTTCTGGTCTCCAAGTATAGCAACTCTTTACTATTCATTTAAGAAAGCTGATTTTTTTTCAGGCTTCGTGCACAAGATTTTCACTGATTAGAATGAATATAAATTTAAAAGTAGCAATAACTTTTTCTCAAGTTCAAGAGAAAGTTAGACCACTTAAAGAGCTGAGAAGTACTGGCTTTGCATGAACATTTATTCTGAATAATTAACAAATGTGTACAACTCTAATTCGTATACAGTAGATCTTTCCACAGTTAAACTAATATAATGCTATTCTACAAATACTATTTTGTTCTCTTGGATTATTCCCTGGGAGCAAATAGATAGATATGTATATAGTATATGCAGTTATATGAGAGCATGTTTCATAAAATAATAGGGACATGTAATGTAAAAGCATGTATGATTGCACTGGATTTGTATATTATGCTGTGTCCAGACCAAACCAACTACAATCAAATACACAAAGCCAACATCAAAGTTCAGTGATGTTTGCCTTATCAAACTTTTAGAATAGACTTCCGGTTCCGGTTTGCAGCGTCACTAGTCTCATGGGGAGACTTCTCGTCGGCTAGGTTTCCCTCCGTCGGTGGACCCTTATACGGGTCCAAAGTCGCCCTGGAGGGTGCGACTTCCGTCGAGGAGGCTGCTGTCCGGCTGATGAGGAGTGGCGGCTCCTCCAGCTGTCTGGATGAATCTCCAAGGGCCGACAGAGAAGAAGATCGGCCAGTAAAATGGCCGATCGCACTGCTGCTTCAGACCGCAAGTCAGACAACATCTAAGCTTTGAGTGCCCCCGTGGTAAATCTGGATGAGAATTTCTTCTTCTTTCTCTCTCTTTTCTGCCTTTTTTGTTTGTGTACCTATAAGAGCTCTTGGAATTATTTCCCTGGCTTGGAAAGGCAGCGTCTGCTTTTGGGGGGGGGGGAAGAAAGGCATTTTATAAATACTGAAAGACTATATTTTACTTTTATTTGGACACTAAAAAGGAAAAAAAGATGGAAAAGGTTTTCTCTCTCCTCTCTTTTTAAGAACTCTACTATTTCTTTTTATATATATTATACTTTAAAAGACATAAAAAAGGAATTGATTTTTGGAAAAGACTTTCTTAACTCACTGAGGGCATCTAGTGGCAAAAATTTAATACTGCAACTTTTGCTTATTCTTTCTACTGAATTTCAAAACACTAAAGATAAGCTGTGCACCTGTGAAGCTATGGGGGTGGATGTTTTTGGATTAAATAAAGCCTCTACAAAAAATAAAAAGAGATTTTCTTTCAAGCATTAGTATTAAAATGGAGAAACCTCAGATACAACTGAACTGTGCACTTATATTGGAAAAGATTTATGAGGCCACTGCAGAAATATGTGCTACGTTTAAAAACTGTGCTTTAGAATTAAGATCCAGAGACTCTACTACATTTGATCAAACTGATGTCCAGGTTACAACTGACTATGGCATAAACCAAAATGTACCAGAAGAGGAATTTACAGAGATAGAAGAGGAATTTATTTCATCTGACAATCCTTTCTTCAGCAACTTAGAGAACCAGAAGAAGCAAAGACCAAGATCTCAAACTACAAAGCAACTACGCTTCAAGGAGAACAGAAAAAGACGTTTACTGCAGAGGAAGGGATTTATATTTTCTCAAAGATTACTACAAGCAATAAGAATGGATTTATTGGTTGAAAAGGAAGCGCTTTTATGGAAGCCTGTGTGGCTTAGAAAGAAACCCAGAATTAGACTGAAAAAGAAATTCAAAAATGTTTAATGGAGTAAAAGGCAATGCTGATTTTATGGATTGTTTTAAGGATAATGATCTAGAGTTAGAAGTAAGAAAAATGCAATTATATACATGTGCGTTTAAATTAGTCAGATGATTTCTTTCTTTTTTTGCTTTTTGCTTTATGGAAAGTTGCTTGGTACGGAAATATGAATTTGTATTAAGGATAAAAAATATATAATAATATACATACAGATATATATGTTCTGGAATTGAAAAAATGTTCAGTTATGGAAATGGAATTTTGAAGTGTTTAAATTGATTAGGTGATTTTTGTGTATAATAATATGATCTGATAGGGTATGATAATTAATTGGATGGAATTTGAAGTTTGTTTAATGA